GCTCTTCCGTGCGCGCCGGACCCTCGCGGAGTCTCCCGGTCCCTGGGCGCCTGCCCGGCCCGCGGCCGCTTTTTCCTCTCCTGGCCCCGCGGCTCCTGCCGCAGTCGCCGGCGGCGGAGCAGCGCTCAGCGCCCCAGGTACCGAGCGCGGGAGGGAGCGAGGCCGGCGACCCGCGGCCGGGCGGAGAAGGGGCGGAGGAGCGTCCGCGGCTCCTTCTCTCTCCCTTCGGGCCGGCCCGGCAGCCTCCCTCTCGCCGCGGAGACCGTGTCCGCCCGAGCCCGGAGTGCCTCTGCGCTGTCTCTGAGACCTGCCTTCCCCGCCGGGGGCTTTGCTCTGGCCCGTGGGCCCCCCCACCCTGCGACCCCCAGCACCACGGCTCCCCACCTGGCGCACCCCCACTACGCCCATCTGCCGCAGGGCGGCCTGGATAGCGCCCACACGCCCTGGGTTCCCACCTCCCTGGGTCCCTGCTCTCGACCCATCTTACCTCCCGTCCCCTCTAGGGGCTCTGCTCCCACCCGGCCAAACGCTCCCAGAGTCAGCGTCCCCGTCCTCCTGACTTTCGGCCCGCTCCTTCTGGAGGGCTCAGCTCATCAGGTGCCTCCTCCCAGACTTCTTACCGGTTTGCTCCAGGTGTCCCTACATCACACCTGAGGACGCCCAAAGGCCCCCTCTCCATCCTCCTCGGGTTGCTGCCCCTTGACCCAGAGCCCCATTCATACCTTCCCACCTGCGGCCCCGGGGGGGTGGTCTGTTCTCACCGACTGCGCCCATCCAGCCTCTGCACCTGCAGGTCCGTCTTCCCGCCCACCCTACCTCGTCCTCCGGACCCCTTTCGGGCCTCACGTCCTCGCCCTCCGCCCTCATGGTCCCAGAGCAGGGCGCCGCCAGCAACAGCACCCTGGACTGGGAGTCGGGGCCGCCATCGGAGCCGGGGGGCAGCGGCTGGGTGGCGGCCGCGCTGTGTGTGGTCATCACGCTGACGGCGGCGGCCAACTCGCTGCTCATCGCGCTTATCTGCACGCAGCCCACGCTGCGCAACACGTCCAACTTCTTCCTGGTGTCGCTCTTCACGTCGGACCTGATGGTGGGGCTGGTGGTGATGCCGCCGGCCATGCTGAATGCGTTGTACGGGCGCTGGGTGCTGGCGCGGGGCCTCTGCCTGCTCTGGGCCGCCTTCGACGTGATGTGCTGCAGCGCCTCCATCCTCAACCTCTGCCTGATCAGCCTGGACCGCTACCTGCTCATCCTCTCGCCGCTGCGCTACAAGCTGCGCATGACGCCCGCGCGCGCTCTGGCGCTGGTCCTGAGCGCCTGGGGCCTGGCCGCGCTCGCCTCCTTCCTGCCCCTGCTGCTGGGATGGCACGAGTTGGGCCGTGCGTGGACGCCCGCCCCGGGCCAGTGCCGCCTGCTGGCCAGCCTGCCCTTCGTCCTGGTGGCGTCGGGCCTCACCTTCTTCCTGCCCTCGGGCGCCATCTGCTTCACCTACTGCAGGATCCTGCGGGCCGCCCGCAAGCAGGCCGTGCAGGTGGCCTCCCTCACCACCGGCGTGGCCGTCCAGGCCTTGGAGACGCTGCAGGTACCCGGGGCGCGCAGGGAGACCCGGGCTTGTGGGATGGAGAAGAATGAGCAGCCATTGGGTGCCCACTAGGCATCCGCCATGTAATATACAATTGCTGATGACCTCCGATTGGTCATTCCCAGTTCCTACCTTTCTTCTGAACTCCAGACTCAATGTCCAGCTGTCCACAGGATGCTCCAGGATGTGGGGCAGTCTTCTCGAAGGTAACATGTGCAACAGGGAATTCAGGGGGTCCCAACTCTCCCCACCTGCTCGTCCCCCCGTCGTCCCCATCGTGGCAAATGGCACCATCATGGCATCACACGCCAGAAACTTAGGAACAATTTCTCTCCCGCATGCTCATGGGATTCATCTGCAAGCCCTGTTGGTGCTGCCTCTAAACATGTGTCATCTCCAATGCCACCTTCCTGATCCAAGCCACCGTTGCTTCTTACCTGGGAGCCTTTGATAGTCTCCTGCTGGCTCCCCCTGCCTCCACGCCAGAGCCCCTCCTATCCATTTTCTGCACAAACAAAAGCAGAAGCGTGATCACCTCACTCCCTTGCTACAAACCCTTCAGTGGCTCCCCATTGCTCTCAAGATAAAGGGGAGACCTGTGTCAGGATCTGGCCTCGGGATCCGGCCCTGACCACCTCTCCAGTTGCACCTCTCCCCCTCCCCGCCCCTTTCTCTGCAGCAGTCCTGTGGCCCTTCTGACACTCCTAGTAGGCACCAGACTGACTCTGTGCCCAGGTCTTTGCACTGGCTGTGCCCTCTGCCTGGAACGTTCTTCCCCTGGAGCCGCCCTTGCCTGACCGAGACTCTTCCTCAGCTCACAGGTCACCCCTTCCCAGAGGCCCTCCCTGACCACACTGTCTGCAGACCCCCCCTGCCCTCCCCCACCCTTCTATTCTTGATCCCGATACCCAGTTTATTTGTTGATCTGTTCATTGTCTGTCTCCCCCACTGGAGTGTAAGCTCCCACGAGGGCTGGGTGTATCTGAGTGAGTTTTGATCTCCACTGTGCATAGTAGGTGCTCACTGGTTACTTGTGAATGGGGTCGGCGCTCTTTGCTCAAGGCCTGCAGTGCCTAGAGTGGAGTGGGTCACACGGTGCCCGAGTCCTATTGTTCATGCCAAGGGATGGGACTTTAGACTGACCAGGCCTGAGCCCTAGAGAATTAGGTCACAGAACCCCAAGAAGATCCCAGATGGGCTCTCCAGTGTCATCTTGGTGTAGCCTCAGGTGGAGGAGGTGCCTGCAGGATGGGAGGTACCTTGGGGGGGAGGTCCCTGGATAGATGGGCGCTGGGAGGCCAACACCCTGGTCAGCAGCCCACCCCCCCCCCGCCCAGAGCGGCTTACCCGTGTCATCCCAGCAGTGAGGCCCATCAAGTAGGAGGACAGGATCTTGGGTGGACAGGAGGTCCTGGCTGCGGCCCTGCTCTCTCCCCAATCTGTACTCACTGGAGAACGTTCTTGAGTCTCAGCAGGTGGCTGTGACCCTGACTCGGTTCTGCAGCTGTAGGGCAGCTGCCCTGGGCCATCCATCTCTCTCCCTGGGTTCTTGTAAAGGAGCGTTTCCCAGACTTCAGGCGTTTGAGAACTGCCTTGTGGTATCTGCCTTGCTACCCCTCCACCCACCCTCACACACGCCTCAAGCCTTTGTATCCGTATGTACTTAGCATTTCCTTGGAGACATCTCATTTATCTTTTTACTTCCATGAACTTATTTAGAAAGAAAACTTCTTTCCTCTTCCGGAAATGGACAGTCAGTATCCTGGCCATAAATAGAAGGTGATCACGAGCACAACCTCACTGAAGCTGCAGGAGCACCAGCAACGTCACTAAAGCCCAGCTTGGATGTGGCTGGAGATGCTGGGCCTGAGGCCAGCTTTCTCTCTGTTAGACGTTGGAGGGATGTTAAAGACACAGTACCATTGACACGAGACTTTCTCTTGACGTAACCAGGAGAGCTGGGAGGGAACTGTAAAGGCCTGTGTTCCCACTCTGTGACTCAGTTATTTTATAGGGTGTCCGTTTACCACCCAAGGGTATCTCCAATTCTCACACTCGGGGGAGCTCTGCCCCAGTGACTAAGGAGGTGCGAAGTTGGCCGGCCTCCGTCTGGATTCTCAGTTCCAGCAGTGTCTGTGATGCATAGATTTTCTTTCCATGAAGCTAACTGGCCAGGATTGTACCTGAGACTGTGGCCTCAGCACCTGGGCACGTGTTCCCCGAATGCTAACAGCAGCAGCCCCACAGCCTTTGAGCACTCTCTACCTGCCAGGCACTGAGCTAAGTGAATCCCCCAAACACCCAACGGGGCAAGTAATCATCATCCCTGTTTGACATCTGGGGAAACCGAAGGGAGGTGACGTCCAGGGTTGCACAGCTGGTTAGTGAGGTTCCAGCTCAGGTCTGGCTGATGCCAACGCCTGGATCTGAGCGTTGTGCTGCCTGTGGGCAGTGACACGCTCTTAAGACATTGACCTCAGGGACGCCACCCGGTGTGAGACCCTCCACGCCACTGGCTGTGCCTCTCAGTCTCCTCTACTGGGTCCTCCTGCTCCTCCACCATCCGAGGCATCCCCCAGCCTCAGTCCTCTGACCTCCTTGCTCTTTTCTCACATTCACTCAGTGAGCTGGTCTCGTGCCATGACCAGAAGTGCCACCTACACACTGATGACTTCCAGCCTGGGCCACTTACTTACCACTGCCCACAACAGAACTCCGGATTTTCCAGGTTCCAGACATCGTTCCTCCCTTGTCTTCCTCATGTCGACTAACTGATATGAGTTGCTCAGGCCAGGAACCTTGGAGGCAGCCTGGGTGCCTCTCTTTTTCTCACACTGCACACCCAGCGTGCTTTCTGCTTTCAAAACACTTCTCATGTCTCGGTTGCCTCCCTTGGTCCCCTGGGCTTCTGATGCCTGGGTTATTGCAGTGATCACCCACTGGCTTCCTAAGCCCATCCTTGCTCCCTTTTGATCTTACACAGCAGCCACAGTGATCCCTTTAAAATGCAGGTCCTGGGAATTCCCTGGCGGTCCAGTGGTTAGGACTTGGCATTTTCACTGCAAGCTGTGAGGCATGGCCAAAAAAAAAAAAAGCAGGCCCTGTTATGTCATTCCTCTGCTCCTTCTCTGGCCTCCTTTCCTTCCACCACCCTCCACACTCCTTCTATTTCAGCTCCCCTGGCCCCCTTGTTATTCCTTGAGCATACCAAACACACTTCTGCCTCAGGACCTTTGCACTTGCTGCTCCCCCTGCCTGAAGTGCCGTTTCCTCACATCTCCGCATGGTTCTCCCCCTAACTTCCATCACTTTCTTCTGGCCTCTGCTTGGCTGTCTTCCCTAATCACTTCGTCAAGAGTAGTAATGGCCATGCTCGTCCAGATCCTGTCCAGTCCTAATTTCCTGAGTTATTCTCAGCAACAAATACCACCGCCTGACATATTATATACTTTCCCATTTACTGTTTGACTGTTTATTTCCTCCTACTAGAATGTAAGTTCTATGAGGGTGAGGACTTGTCTCGATTGCTATATTCCCAGAACTTAGAACAGTGCCTGGCGTGTCATGAGTGGTCAGTGCACAGTGACGAGAGAAAAGAAATGAACAACAGTGCTACACAGAGCCAGGGATTCAATCCCAACTCACATCTCTCCCTTTTCTCCCACTTTTAGAAGCAGTTCTTGTAGCTGGTGAATCCTGCACTTTTTAGTACATTGATTCACTTCCTTGGTACTGTGTTGAGTACCTCCCTTGTGCTGTGGTTGCAGGGATGAGTGGGTCTGAGAAGATCCTGCCCTGTTGGAATCTACTTTCTAGCTGGAGAGAGAGACACTGATCACGAAACCCTACCATGATGAGGGTTCTGGAGCTTAGAGGAAGGGTGCCTCCGCCAGTAAACATTCAGGGTCTATTGACCTGTGCAAACTGAAGCAAGGAAGTCTCGAAACCAAAGGTTGGGAGGAGTCTTCCTGGGTCACTTAGCTGGCAGAATGACCCGCAGCCTCTCAAGCCAGGAATGTGTTTGTGCAAATTCTTCCTGCTTTCTGGAAAGCCTTTTCTCTTTATTTGAATGAGACAGTGTCAGACTCTACCATTGCCGTTGCTTCCAAACCCACGCAGATCCTAAGCAAGCCTTCTGCAGGGCAATTTTCCTTATTGCCTGGAGAATTGCCTGCATTTGGGGAATTTGCTTCTGGGATGCTGCCTCTACTCTGGCCTCCTGGATTGTGACCCACTTCCCCCACCCAAGCTGGCCTGCCCCAGAGTCCAGCAGCATCCAGCCTGGGGACGGAGGCGTTCTCAGTGCCTGGACCTAAAGGAACTGATGAGAATGAACAGAACTTGGGGGTGTGTTAGGCCCCTTTCCTCCTCTTTCCAGCCCCACTGAACCCTTAGCTCCTTCTCCCATCCAGCCTCTAGGTTCCCCACAGAGGAAAGGGGGCTGGGCACCAGTCCCTGAAGTCCTGGCTCTTCTGGAGTTTCGGACAAGGGAGCTGAGCTGGCTGGAGCATCTTTTTAAGCCTCTATCCACCACATCTGCCTATTGATGTGAATGGCCTTTTAAAAAGCCACTGGTTGGCTCAGCGGTTTCAGTCAGGTCTTCCCAGCCCCGGGGGCTGTAAGAAAGAGTTCTGCTTAGAGGCCAGGCAGGGCATATGGGCTGGGGTTGGAGAGAAGGGTGTGAGAGGTGGTGGTGGTGCCAGAGTGAGATGCTGCCAGGGCAGGAGTGTGTGTGTGTGTGTGTGTGTGTGTGTGTGTGTGTGTGTGAGTGTGTGTGTGAAAGGTGGGTGACCATGTGGGGATGGGACGCATCCTTGGGGGATTCCAGAGGGACCAGTGTGGGTGCTCAGCCTGCTGGGGAGCAGCAGTGGGAGGCTCAGCTGGGAGTTCCTGCGTTCTTAGTCTCTTTCTCTCTCTGCCAGGATTCCTGTGTGTCTGTGGTCAAAACCCTTTCCCTATCCTCTTCCTCTCCACGTCATCTTTTCCCCTTCTCTATCCCCCCTCCCTCCATTCTAGTTCACCCCTCTCTTCCTTCCTTCTGCACCACATATCTTCCTTCTCTCCCTCAATTTCTCCTCCTTTTCCTCCTCCCCCAGCTTTTTCACCCTCCATCCCCCAGCTGTGCATCATTCTGTCTTAGTGATCCATCTTCCCTTCCATCTCTGCTTCCTCCTCAGAGGAGGCTGTGATCACAGAAATATCTTGGAGGGGGAGGAGGGGGCTGAGTGGGAGGCAGAGGAGCAGAGGAGCAGAGCCGAGCATGACAGCCTTTGCTGCTGCTCAGAACGAGGTTGCCTGGTGCAGCTGGGGCAAGGCACAGGAGCTTGTGCGTCTGGCTGAGCATGGGTTCAAATCCTGCCTCTTTCCCATCACAGCTGGATGACTTTGGATGAGTCACTCACCTCCGTCTATCTCAGGGGTAATGCTATTTATCATATGAGGCTGTTTGAAGAATCAATGAGATGATATATATAAACCTGGCGCATAGTAGGTGCTTGACAAATGTTAATTCCTATCCTCTCCTCTTGATGGTAAAAATGCACGGTTCTGGGGAGCTCACCCCTTTGAGATTTTCTAGGGGGAAAAATCACCCTCGCTGTCATCAGCAGCCTCATCACCATTATGAAGGAGCCGAGGTGAACACAAATAACGAGAAACAACAACAAGGTAACAGTCACACGGTACTTACTATGTGCCAGGCACTGTTCAAGTAACTTTCTATTATCTTATTTAACCCTTACTACAATCCTACGAGGTAGATGCCATTGTAATTGCCATTTTACAGATGAGAAGGCTGAGGCATAGAGAGGTAAAGTACCTTGCTTAAGTTCACTCAGCTAGTTAGTAGCAGAGCCATGATTTAAACCAGGCAGTCTGGCTCCAGGGTCTATCCTATTACCCTCACACTATGATTAGTTGATCGTACAAATTTGAAATTACACGAGGGAATATGTAAGTACACTTTAAAATGAAAATTCATCAATAACGATAAAATAAAAGACCTCTCTGACCTCATCCAATCACCTCCCACTCCTAGGTCTCTCAATGTCTTTCCGGTTCTTTTTCTGTGTGTTTTCATATTTGTTTATGTACCTAAAGAAACTTAGTGCTTTGCTTTGTGTATTTTTTTAAACAAAGGGAATCATGCTGTATCTCTTGTTTGTACAACTTGCCGTTATCACTTGATAATGCGTCGTGGAGATCCTTCCATTTGATCAATTCATTCTTTTAAACATCTGTGTTGCATTCTATAGTGGTAATGTACCGGGGTTTATTTAAGCACTCTCCTTTTGATGGACTTTTGCGCTGTTTCCAATTTTTTTCCTATCACGAATAGTGCTGTGGTACACACTCTTGTCCAAGCCAAGTGTAGAGACACAAGTATGGGTTTTTATGGACATATGGATCTGTAAGCAGACTTGCCTCCTGGAAGGGCACTGCCAAATTGTCCTCCAGTAGCTGCCCTCTGACAGTGACAAATGCCACAGACATGTATAAGGGACATGCAAACAACAGAACGTGCCACGGGGCCATGAGGTGGCTACAGGGCAGAGAGAAGTGGGAAGGGTGAGGCTGGCATCAGCCAGCACCCAGAGTGTGGCCTGGCGGTTGCCATTGGCTTCTGCTCCATGAGGGACTCTCAGTGACAGTGTTGGGGTTTTACTTGGGGGTGCCATCCTTCAAAATGGAAGCAGCCTGGTGAAATGCAGTTTCTGGAGCCAGAGATGACTTTGATTCCCTAACTCAGCACTTGTCTGCTGTGTGACTCCTGGAAAGTTATTTTGCCTCTCTGAACCTCATCTGCAAGATGGAGATTATAATACCTCCCTCCCATAAAGACTCAGTGGCAGAATGAACATCAACTGCTGATGCATAGTAAGTGCTCAGTAAGTGGAGATGATCATTTGGGGTCACTGGTACTTTTGTTTGAGGCTTTGTACTGGCACAATGTGACCTTGGGAAGGTTCCCCCACCACCTCTGAGCCTCAATTCCTTCTCTCTTCCCTCTTGCTTGTGTTCTTGGGTCAACTCTTTGGGGAGAAGAGAAGAAAGAGAAATACAGGTTTGTTCCTAGGAGGACGAGAGAGGGACTCTCAGATCATGGTTAGTCCCTCTGGATCATCCTCCCCTGATGACTGCCCCCAAATGTCTCCCTGAGTGCCTTGGTACCCTAGTGCCCTAGAGCTCTAGCTAGATCACAGCTGTCTTTTGCCCTCTCCCCAGGTCTTCAGGGGCCAGGGGGTACCCGTGTGGCTAGGGCTTTCTGGAGACGGTGTCTCCCTCTTCCCCATATGTCTGTCCCCACTGGTGGCAGCAATTCAAAGTCACAGCAGATCCTAGGAGATTCTTTTGGGGAAGCAGGAGCCTCTCCCTCCAGGTTGGACAGGTTGGCCCACGGGAGCCATATAGAGTTCACTCTGGAGAAGAGAAAATGAGAAGGAGAGAGAAAAGCAGATCCTCTTTTTCTTCCTTGCTATAGCATAGTGGCTCAGAGCATTTGTCCTGACATCTGTGCTGCTTTGGAAAGCTCAAAGTGCTGGCAGAAAAACAGGGCTCCTGAAGGTGCTAAAAACTCCCCCAACCTCATCCTCATACTGCTGAATCGACCTCAGGGCTGCTATGTATTTACACTTACTCTGTGTCGGGCACTGTGCATGCATGTATATCCACAGGTTCAAAGCAACTCCGTAAGGTGAGTATTTTCTCCCATTTTACAGATGTGGAAACAGAGACTGTCAAGATCACAGGGCGAGTAAGTGGTAGAGGTATGATTTGAAGCCAGATCACTTGTCTTAAAACAAGCTCTTGCCTCTGCACAATGCTGCCCCACCAAGACAGAGGGGAGAAATCAAGGGCCTCTTTTAGGCTGCTCTGGGTGTCTTTGATATTTGTCTAACCAGATTTCACTTGGAGAAACACATCGAAGGGTGGGAGTTGCAGTGTGCCTGTCTCCCCTCTCCTGCCCACTGCCATTCCAGATCCTACAGAAAGATATTGTAGGTATGCAGCTGGGTTTTCAGCACCATGGACAGTAACCAAGCCTGGCTACCCTGAGGAGGCTGGGAGAGAAAAAGGGCTGGGAGGGGGATGGGGTAGGGGGTTCGGCTTTGGTGCTAGAAGGGCTGACACAACTTGCCTTTGCCTCCTCCACCCCATTTTCATCTGTGAAGGTTGCCTGGGAATCTGGTTCCCTTCCTGCCTCCTTCTCTTTCATCTTCCCATACCCAAGCTATCTTTGGTTGCCTCAAGAGCTAAGCTGGGCTCTCATGCAGTTTAGAAAATGTTGGGGGGAAATCCCTGGCTTTTAAAGCCCAGGTATATTCCCAGGCAGCCCACATACCCCTTCATAGTTCAATAAATTGTGCGCACCTCTGCATACCAGTATTTACTTAAAAATTGTCAATATAGGTGGCTCTTGCCTTGTGGAAAGCTGATATATGAAAATCCAAATTGATTACAATACATGGTTCAGAGGAGGGCTTCACATTCTAGCTTTCATGGACCCCTAGGGGTTTCATGGATGGACTTCACAGTGGTCTCTGAACCCTCTGGACATGAGGGAACTTTTCTCTCTCTCTCTCTCTCTCTCTCTCTCTCTGTGTGTGTGTGTGTGTGTATTTATAAAATTTTATAAGCTTTTTGTTTTCTGAGGAGTGGTTTTGTAGATTTCATTAGAGTCTCAATGGACTCACAAAGTTGAAAAAATTAAGAGAACCTCTGGGCTACTGGGTCATCTGGGATCAGAGAGCCTTTTGAACGTTTTGGGACGCCTGCACTCCCATTTGTAAAGTCATATTCTAACCCCTCGTGCCGTGTTCCCCATGGAGCAGCTCCTAGTTTTTTCCTCCTCCTTTCCCCTAGTTCCCGCTCACGGAGTCCATGTGTGCGAATGGAGATGTCTGTCAGTCCACAGTGAAATCTGTGTGTAAAATGCCAAGGTTGCTCGCATCCCTAGTAATTTATACAGATTTAATTGCACACGTTTGTTTTGGGCACATATTTTCAAAAATGCACTTTATTTTGTGGAGTCTGAGAGTAGTGGTGCAGACAAAACCATCACTCCAAAATATGAAGAGAATCCACAGGCAAAGAGATTGCCAAGCCCTGGACAGCAACTGTCCTCTTATGTCAAGTACTGTTCAATTGCAGCTAATTCTTGTAGTGCCAAAGTGCAGTGCAGGACAACACTGCCCCAAACACAAATCCAACAGTTCAGAAGACCCACACGCCTTGCAAAGGACAACATTTGACACTGGCCAACACACGTAACCATGAGCCCCAGCACCTAGGAAATCTCCCTGTGCTTCCTAGAGCTCCTTGGGAAGCGCTGGGTCAGGGTCACAGCTCGGCACAGGACCAGGACCAAGGCTCCGTCTATTTCTGGAATCAGCGCTCAGTCTGGTGCTAAAATTGGGCTCAGTCTGGTCCAGGGTTGAGGCTCAGTTTGAGATCTTGTTTATGTAGGGCTCAACCTATGGTAGGCGTCAGGGGTTCAGGGCCATGAGTAGGGCTTAGCTTATTCCTGATGTCAGGGCTCAGTCTGAAGCCAAGATCAAGGTTCAGTCAGGAGTCAGGGTCAGGCCTCAGTCTAGGACTACAACTGCAGCTCATTCAAGGGTCAGGGCTCAGTTTAATACTGATACTAGGGCTCAGTCTAGAATTAGGAGTAAGGCTCAGTCTGTGGCTGGGAACAGAGTCAGACTGGGGCGCGTTCTTCACTAAATCACGTGGCTTTCCTTTCGGCAGGTGCCCAGGACCCCGTGCCCCGGGGTGGAGTCGGCTGACAGCAGGCGTCTAGCCACCAAGCACAGCAGGAAGGCCTTGAAGGCCAGCCTGACACTGGGCATCCTGCTGGGCATGTTCTTTGTGACCTGGCTGCCCTTCTTTGTGGTCAACATAGCCCAGGTAATGCTACCACAAGGGACAGGTGAGTCCACGCCTTGTTGGGGAGGCCCTGAGCCCCACCCCTGCCCAGACCCGGGGAGGGAGGAGGGCGGGCTGCCTCTCCATGTGTTTATGTGTCTGTCCCATCCGTGCTGGGTGGGGTGGCCTGCGTCCCTACTCCAAGACCAGGCATGATGTGCCCCATCCCTCCAGGCCGTGTGCGACTGCATCTCCCCGGGGCTCTTTGATGTCCTCACATGGCTGGGTTACTGCAACAGCACCATGAACCCCATCATCTACCCGCTCTTCATGCGGGACTTCAAGCGGGCCCTGGGCAGGTTCCTGCCGTGTCCACACTGCCCCCGGGAGCGCCAGCCCAGTCTTGCCTCGCCCTCCATGCGTACCTCTCACAGCGGCCCACGGCCGGGCCTGAGCCTGCAGCACGTGCTGCCACTGCCCCTGCTGCCAAACTCGGACTTGGACTCGGACCCGGGCTCGGGGGGCTCCTCAGGCCTGCAACTCACGGCCCAGCTGCTGCTGCCTGGAGAGGCCACCCGGGACCCCCCCGCCGCCTGCCGGGACCACTTCCGCAGTCAGCCTCTTCAGCGTTGATCCTGCGGAGCCTGAGCTGCAGCTGCATCCGCTTGGTACCCCGAGGAATTGACGCAGGCTTGGAGAGCTGGACTGGATGGGACCAAGTCCCTGAGGGCTTGGACCAGCTCTTGGCTAAAACCAGGAGGCTACAGGTCTCCCGGGAGCCCACTGAGCTCCAGGGGGCTGCACGGAGCCAGCTCCCCGTGCCCACTCCAGGCCTCCTACCTGGAGGGCTAATTGCTGGCTCGGCACAGTTTTCTCCAGGATGCCCCACTATTGAGTGTAACTTGTGGATGTGTGTAGAGCAAGGCTGGGGCACTCCAGGGAGTGGGGTAAGGACCTGTTGGCCCAGATTAGGATGAAGACAACCATCTCCTTTGCACGTTTCTGTGAGACTGCATGGGAGGGACATCTCTGTCTGCAGAGGCAGCTTGGCGCTGGGCCAAATTCCTTGGTCCTCCAAGTGTGGTCCACGGTCCACTGCATCAGCTCCCGGGAGCCTGTTAGAAATGTACACCTCTGCCCCACTCCGACCTGGTGTTCAGCA